GTTAGCATGTTTCGGCTTGTTTTTAAACTAGAAATTATGAATGAATAATAAAACCATAATTGGATTTGGCTTTCGCATGATTAGAAGAGTTATGCAGATCTCTCTCGATCTTTGTTATCCGTGCGCCCCCATTGGCCTTCGCGACTCGGCAGATGACACGCTCTTCGATCTGCATAATTCTTTAGATCATAAACAACCTCATACAATAATTTCTAAATAACGTAACATCTGCCATTGATAACCCACGTGGCTAAGGTGCGTCAAAATGGGCGGGGAACTGCCACGCAGGCAAATCACTGATACGCTTTCGATTGTAAAGCATGCACATACTTACCAGTGGTTGAGAGAGGAAGGATGACTGCAGCAGGCACTCTGACAGCAGTTCTTCATCAACCACTTCAAGCTTAAATATATAATGAAACAATCCTTACCAATAACTGAATGATACGTACCTGAATAATTACTAGAAGCTTGTGTACCTAAAATATTAAAAGATAAGAGTGCAGTAATTTTTTCGGAACCTGAAAATTCCCAGCTGAAACCGAAAAAGTGTTTGTTTGGTTTGTTGTGTTTTTGTTTAAACTTTTTGAGACCGGAGGGGAGGGGGGTGCTTTTGGCGTGTTTAATGTAATTAATGTACTCTGTAGCAGTTTGGACTGTCTCAACCAGGAGCCGATCCTGTCTAAATAAAAATAGCCCTCATTCACTCGATTTTATCAGCCATTCTCCTTAAAACAAGGCATAAAGGGCTAGTCATCTTAAAGGAAAAGGAATGACGACTGTAGACTGATCAGTCCCCTATTTTTCCGTAAGATCGTCGAGATCAAAGACTTTGCGTTACGGGCGACCATCTTGGATCAGGATGAGTGTCTTAATCTACTAAACCAAGACGCCCGCCCCTTCATATGAAATCAAGATCGCCTCCTCCCCCCCGTATCGGCGAGCGATCGATCCTGACGATTTAACAAGAAAATAGGGAACTGTGAACAGTCTAGAATAACTGAACTTGTCAGCATTTTGTAATAATGAGCATGGTGGGTGTTTTCTACTAAAATATTACTAATATAGGGTCGCTGGGTAAAAATTAGCTTTTTACAGGAAAAAATTATCTGCCTTAATAAAGTTATATATAATATCATGATACGTTGGAGACGGTAATGGGAGCCCGCGCCAGGGGAAAAAGTGAAAAAGTTTTCTCCTTAGCTTGTCAACATTGTTTTTTTAGATAATAGGCGAATTCAAACTGATTTGCGGATTCAGGCAATATCCATCGTACATTTAGAAGTGAGGGCATAGCGGTTTAGCAGAAAGAAGAAACCAGGGCATTCCAAACTGAAACAAATTAATGTCATCATCATTGCACATCATAAAAGCGAAAAACAGTTTTAAGGTTACATGATGCACCTTCCTGTATATGTATGGCCTGATTTCAGCACTTACCCGTGTCAAAAGGTAGAAGCCCACAAACAACCACAAGTACCACAGATAATTCTACTGAGAACATATTCGCAAATAACCTGTGTGCAAGTAAACTGTTGAAACACGGTTCTTTTTTTCAGTATGCCCACCGTTTCATCCGACAAGCTACTTCGATTTCACAGGTCACGAAATCGTAACTGTAACAATTCGCAATATCCCATTTACAAAAAAATTCACAAAGGATGTGTTTTCCTATTGGCTCAAGCCCTTAAGGTAATTTTTAACTCAAATAATGTTGTCAGCGATGTCATGATAACATCATTTATTACTAAAAACTAAGAAGGAACTTAGACTACGAGTAGTCCCCAATTTTCCTCAGGGATAGTAGAGCGAGCGAAACGCGAGCGCGCGTGAAAATCACCCACGCGAGAAAAGGCAACACGCGGCGGCATTTTTCTCTCTTCCCGCCGCGTGTCGCCTTTTCTCGCGTGGGTGATTTTCACTCGCACTCGCGTTTCGCTCGCTCTACTATCCCTGAAGAAAAATGGGGACTACTCGTAGTCTAGAAGGAACTTGAACCATCCACCATCTTGGATCTACAAAAATGTAACCAAAACAAGGCTGTCAAAACTCGCTTAGCATGGCAACGTCACGATGATTTTACAATGTTCCCAGAAAAATTTTAGGCTTGGCGGTCATAGCTTGAACGGCGCGCTTTGAATTTTTTTGCAAAGTGAAGGGGGTTGGGGGGGGGGGGGG